TCTGTTGGAAAGAGATGGGAGAACCTGAGGGCCTTTCCAAGCCAAACACCAACCCTAGGCACAAGGACTGAGGCCTGCCCAAGCCTAACAACAACCCCAATCTCGACACATTGTAGTGCTGACTGCCTCAGCAGCGCCTGGTCTTATCCAGCTTGGTTTATCCACAGGAGAGAGAGAGAGAGAGAGAGAGAGAGAGAGAGAGAGAGAGAGAGAGAGAGAGAGAGAGAGAGAGAGAGAGAGAGAGGGGTTTCCGAGGGCATGGGAAGCAAAGAGGGAAAAGGGAGATAGTGTTCATATTACAACTTGAGCATAGTGCCCTGTAGATACACTCTCATCCGTGTAGGATACATCAGTGCTGTGCTATATCCCGTCAGCGGAAATGCAGTGCAATGTACTCACCAAGTGTAATGAAGCCCCTACTCAGACCCCTTGATTGAAAGACCAAATGCACAGTCTAACATTTAATTATGCAATCTCTGATTTCTTTTACTTCTGTCCAGTTTTGGGGAGAACAACAAACAAAAAAAAAGAACAAAGACTTTACTTAAATTTACTATCATTTTTACTCCTATCTCTATAGGAGGCTGCCACTTCGCAGCTGCTAACTGAAAAGAAGGAGAAGGTTATCTCCCTCAGCTCTGGGCGGAAGATGGGAGTAAAAGCAAGGGATAGGTGGGGGGGGGTTCTTTCCGGGATTTAGACTCATGCGGATGGGGATAGTTAGATCAACTTCGATGTCGTCATCGTTGTTGGGTTGTTTTTAAGCAGGGCTGGTGCCAGGCTACTAGCTATCTACCCAACCAACGACACCGACGACGACATCTAAATATCCCCACATCCGCCATAGACTTGGGTATGTAGCTACTAGCTAGTGAGTAGTCTTGTTGGGGCCCAGCAAGCTTTATGCTTTATGTGGACTGCCATTTCGGTGTAGGGGCGGGGTAGGGCCGGGGTTCTGTAGCAAGACTACCTGTGTGCCCCTTCCTTACTCTTTGTGTACGTAGCCTTGGGCGGGCCGCCATAGAGCAGTGCCATGATGTCATTGTATTCTGGATGACACACGGTCACATTGTTCACGGTGTTCTACGAGGTGTGCATTTTGGTTGCAGTGTGGCCACATGGGCACTGATCTTTTTTTCTTCTTCTTTTTTCTCTTTCTTT